CTCCCTGGATTCCCGTGTGTGTTCCAGGGCCCTATTGTAAGGAAAACAAAATCGACCCACTGCCTACCCAAAAGCATGTCGTAAGAGTCTACTAATCGGGAGCTTCCTTGAAGTCAGAGTGCATCTTTCTGAGAAGCAAGAAACCAACAGTCTACATACAAATTAATCAGATCTGTCAAACTGATGCACACACAGAACTGCAGTCCAGAAGTGGTTGAACAACCAGAACTTTCCGCCGGAGTTTACAGCTGGTTAATGCGAAGAAGAACTCTCTGAATTTTTAATAAAAAGTGATCAGGACTCAAAATTTCTTCTGTTTCTTCTTCTTGTCTTCTAGTTTGTCAGAGTTTCAGAGAATTATTAGGATGTTTTCATTAAAAAAATTTTTTAAAGAAGATTTTTTTTTTTAAATATTGTTTTTGCTGAGTGAAAGAGTTAAATGACTATACTCAGCACTCAGATAAGACAGGCTGCTAACGGTAACATCAACATATGGGGTTGAACACTACTGGGTATGTCCTGAGTGCTGTGATGTGGATTCTGAACTCAGTGTAACTCAACATGGCTGGCATGTTATAAAAACTAGGAAATGTATGGTGCTAGGAGAGGGGGAGAGAGAGAGAGAGGGGGAGGGGGGAGAGGGAGGGAGGGAGAGAGAGAGGGAGGGGGGGAGAGAGAGAGAGGGGGAGAGAGAGAGGGGGAGAGAGAGAGGGAGGGAGAAAGAGAGATAGAGAGGGAGGGGGAGAGAGAGAGAGAGGGAGGGGGGAGGGAGAGAGGATGGAGAGAGAGAGGGAGGGGGAGAGAGAGGGGGAGAGAGAGAGAGAGAGAGGGAGGGAGAGAGAGAGAGGGAGGGGGGAGAGGGAGGGAGAGAGAGAGAGAGGGGGAGAGAGAGGGAGAGAGGGAGGGAGGGAGAGAGAGAGAGGGGGAGAGAGAGAGGGGGAGAGAGAGAGGGGGAGAGAGAGAGAGGAGGAGAGGGAGGGAGGGGGGAGAGAGAGAGGGGGAGAGAGAGGGAGGGAGGGGAGAGAGGGAGGGGAGAGAGAGGGAGAGAGAGGGAGGGAGGGAGAGGGAGAGATAGAAATGGGGGTGTGGGGGATAACATTTTGTGTGAGCTAGTTAAGAGTCTGGTAATTGTAAACCCATGCTTAGAGAAGCCTGGACAACATTTCCAGAACTTAACTGACTGCATTCTTACAAACTGTTTATTCAGTAACAGCTTACACTCAGTGAAAACAAGACCAGCTGCAGACGTCAGTAAAACTGAAGAAATTAAAGAGATGTCCAACAATCCAAGCTAGATTTTAATCTCAATTTATTGTTAAAAAGTAGCAATAATGAAAGAACAGTGTTTCTCACATTTAAGAAGTTAATAACAGATGTGTATGTTGTTTTGTGGACACATTATAATAATAAAATATATTCCTTTATTTACATTTTGGATGCCAATTACAGGTATATGTTGTTTCACAGATGATAATAATTAAAAATTTTAAAAATCTAATTTTTGTGTGTGCATGTTTAGGGTATCAGTAATGGTTATATATTGTTTCACAGACACATTATAATAATAAAAAAGCAATCTTTTCTTACATTTAGGATACTCCAAAATCTACTCCACAAGAGAGCTTAGAGTCACCTCCAGAAACAACAGTTAGGGAGAAAACAAACAGTAAGTGATACAGAGAAGGTTTTATCATTTAGCTGATAGAGTTACTACATGATTTTGATAATGCTGCTTTTTCTGCCTTTTATCTCCCTTTGGAGCATAGACCTACAATTTCAGGTTTAAAAAAAAGATGCTCTCACTGCCCCACGTGCCCACCACCACACTAAGAAGTGATATAATAAGTTGCATGTTTCATCTGTCACACATCGCTCGTGTCACATGCCTAGTTAAGGATTTCTCCTAATGAACCAACAGCACTCTGAAATAGTATTAATGTTGGAATGTCAGCTCGTAATGGTCCAGGCAGAATCCCGCGGCCACTATACACATCCAACCTATTTCAGGGGCGGGACAACACAAGTTGTGGCACTACAGAATATTTATACTCCTAGGCGCAACTTGGCCGAACATCCCCATTACTACAAGAAAATAGCTCCCAGACTATGATTTTTTACTATCATAGTCATGTTAACACAGAATAAGATCTAATATAATAATACATGCAATCCAGACACCTAAGAACAGTGAATGATGGACACTAAATTCAATATTGAAAAATCCCAAAGACATGTAATAAGTTTAGAGTCACATATATGAATTAGGCAAACGGAATACAATTATCAATGACAATAAGAAATCGACAGACATATTAAATATGCCTGACACTCAGTTTTTCCAGAGAGCCGCCATGGTCATCATGGCAAATGTGAGAATAGTGAATTCAGGAACTAGGCACCGAGTAATGATGGACTTATCTTTCTCTGGGTCTGGTCCACAGCAACACTTGCATCACACCAACTGGGACGTCTGGAACAAAGTCACTAGGCTGGTTGGCTCCTCAGCATCTCAGGAACTGTACTTGGAAAAAATATCATTCTGTCTGATAGGTCATTTAACAAGAATGGTTCACCACAAATGATAGGCACTGTCCGGCAATCTCCAGGTGGCTCCCTGGATATGGACTTCTCCCACTGAAACAATGGCTGCTACCGTGCTGTCTGAACAGAGTCGTCAACAGGACCCCATGGTGCAGTCTTCTGGCTGCCGGTGGCACATAAGAGTTTGTGGCAATCAAGCTGGTGGCTTTATGGACTGTTGATTAACTGCCCGGCTTCCAAGGAGATATCATCCTGTGAGGAAGTGGAACACCAGAATTAGCAGTCATCTCAACTCATATGCCTAGTACCTGCTTAACTCCCTCCACACACATATATATATAGCTCAGAGAACAGCTCTCAGGATAGAAGACTGTACTAGCCTCTTTGCAACAGTGTCAGTCAGTCAGTATAAGAGACATGAGACAAGTTTCACAGTGGAGACAGACAGAAGTCTCTCAGATAGAGAACACCCTCTCTCTACATCCATATCTGCACCTGTAGCTACACAGATTACCACTCACACAAATATGTATATCACATTCTCCACAGGTTGACTCTAGCCCTCCAGGTTCCCCCAGTGTGTGTACCTGAGTTAACTATAAATAACCCCTGACGTCACTTTGCCTGTCCTCAGCCGTTGGATGAAACTGTGCTGACCCAATTAATCTGCCGGTTACTAGATCGGCAACCATTTACACAACTAGTTAGTTATGGAATGAATGGACTGCTAGATTAAATTATTGATACTAGTGTTGGGTTTAGTAGTGCACATACTCTCAGCTTAAAAAGGGGAAGGTTTGATTTAGGTGGCTGTGATCATTTCGACACCAAAAACGGTCTCGCTCTTTAATGTCTTATAGCCTAGTCATCCCTCTCGCCAGCAGCGGGTGCAAATATAAAGCTATATATACATTTTACTCGTAAACTCTAATAGACTTACCCAAGCTTTAGGAAATGTCCTGGACACAAAAGCCGTCTTCTCAGAGTACAAACTTGAGAGACAAAGTTTTGAACGTCGATTCTTCTTGGCTGTCGGGCAGAGAATGAGAGGGAAACGTAGCGTCACTTTTACAGAATAAGGGCGCTGATTACTACGCCGAGGTGGTGAATCGTCCTCTCGAAATAAGAGTAATAACACAAAGAATCTCTAACTTTCAACTGTAAGTTTGAAAATGTAGGCATTTCAAGAGATTCAGAACATAAAGAAATATGTATTCCATCATGCGACAGTGTACATAAACAACATGGACTATATACCCACCAGACGAATCTATATTTAAATGTGACCTCGCCACTAGGGGCGACAGTCACGAATAATCCAATGTGTAGTGGTGGGTGTGGCCATTCCATGACAACATCCATATATAAAATTTAATGTGAATCCGTTTTTTGAATACAAAAATTTTGACTGAAAGTTGAAGAGAAAAAAATTCAACCCAGTGTCAAACAGTGCTTTTAAAACTTTGAGGAATATTTGGAAGATTACTACCAATGATTTGTTTTTTGGACTGGTCATTATCAATTTGAGGAAAAAAAGAAAAGAAAATATTTTTTGATGGGTATTGTATAAAAATTGCAAACAGGATGCTGAACATTATGTTTTGGCTATTGTAATCAATATTTATAGACTGTCGTGTGATTCCATTTTTCAATTTTGTGCTTTAGCAATAGAACGTGCAGTAGTCCGGTTTTCGTATGTGGCTGAACAGCCAGATGAACTATCCCTGACTGAGGGACAGATAGTGCGCATCCTTGATAAAAAACTGGAAGATGATGGATGGTGGAAGGGAGAGGTCAACGGGAAAATTGGAGTCTTTCCAGATAACTTTGTAGAGTTGTTACTCAATGAAAAAGTAAGTGATAAAACAAAATGTGTGTTTCTTTTTTTTTTAATGTAAAGTGATGAAATGGGTTGAACTGCAGTAGAGCTGTAAAAATATAAAAGTGCACAAATTTAATTTTTTTTTGTTTGTTCAGAGGATCAAGACTACACATGGTTTGTTCTTAGAAGCCACATTTTTAATCTAAGTCAGTGTTTCCTAAACTTTTCTTAGTCGCAAAAAAAAAAAAAAAAAAATTCTAGTCTTGTCTTTCAAATAACAAGGCTTGAAATGTAATTATTTCTAGGTTTGCTTACAAAAGAACAACAGTTACTGTAATGGAGTCTGAAATCTAATTTGTATTTCCATGGTTGCATTCTGAGGAGAGTCTCCCAGATCTTGACCAATCAGCAACATTTGAGCAGCCACACACAAGCCATCTCACCAGTTTTTAATCAAATCATGCAAAGGGCAGGAATTACGAAGCACTGATTTCATCTCTCTCTGTATTCCTGTTCTTCTGCATTCTTCCTTAATGTTTAAATATTCTTCTGCATTCATCCTTAAAAGGGTGATTGGCCTGTTTTTGTGTGGTTTACAGCAAGGCTGTGATAAATGCACTTTTCAGCCTAACATGTATGATTTCAGCAAACCTGTTATTAGCACTTTTTTTTAAAGATATTGTGGAAAGGTGGGGGAGGGGGCAGTGGGTCTGTTCTATCAACCCCCCCCCCCCCCCCCCCCCCCCCCCCCCCCCCCCCCCCCCCACTTGGACCCTAGAAGCCACCCTGTGTAGTATTCCTGAAAAGTTTTCCCCTGTAGCATCAAAAATTTTGTCACAGCCGTGTCGTGGCCTGTGACTTCTCTGTTGACAAAATGTCAAAGTAGCAGTTAGGGTAATTGGATATGTCGTGCTATACACCAGGGCTGTTCAACTGGTGGCTGTGGAACAGATCTGGCCCACAGTGGCTTAGCAAGTGGCCCGCGGATAATTGCCAGTTGAAGTGAATTAATGAGTTTTCTCTGCTTGGGCTCAGTTTTCTGGCCCTGGACGATCCCCATTTTCAAAATTGTGGACCCTAAGTAAACTCAGTTGAATGGTCCTGGTATACACCACAGCAGATGAACCCATGAAATAAAAAAAAACCGAATGTATACTCGCTTACAGTGCAGATATGAAGAGCATTAAATGTGCATAATTTCAGTTTGTCTAGTTGCTCATCTTCTTCTTAATGTTGACCGGCCATAAGCTCAGTCAGAAAGTTGTGGTTGTTCATCCAGTTCTGGACTGTGGTCTTTTTCTAGAACTTGAGTTTGAGTGCACATCATTTTTCTGATGTGGCTTATTTGTTTGCAGTCTGTTGGTTCCTTGCCTGTTAGGCAGATTCACTCCAGCTTCAAAGGAAGCACCCCTAGTAGTCAATTCTGGACTTAAGTCTTGTTCCAGAACTTGAGTTTTGGGCTCACATCGTTCTACAGATCTGGTTTATTTGTGTGCAGACTGTTGGTTCCTTGCCTCATGGGCAGATGCACCCTGACTTCGAAAGAATCTCCTGATTAGTCAACTCTTACCACATGTTTGTAAGGCAGTGAATCTATTCTTGTTTTTACCCCAGCATAGCATCCCACATAGGGAACCTTGGATCCCACACAGGGAACCTTGGATTCCACACAGGGAACCTTGGATCCCACACAGGAAACCTTGGATCTCACATAGGAAGCTTTGGATCCCACACAGGGGGTCTTGTATCCTACACATGGGGTGAAGATGATTTAACCCAGGACCACTGTTGGCAGTCTTATACACTAACAATTAGGACAAAAGAAGTGCTGTAAGGGCGCTCTCAAGACTGCTCGGTTCTTTTGGCATCAACACAGCAACGTGGGAGGCTGCTGCGAAGACCATTCTGGATGGTGTACATCTCTCAGGCATGGTGCATCGTCCTGTCAGGCAGCGGAGGTTGCACAGGAAGAAACGTAGGCAGACTAGAAAGAATCGTACTGCTAATCTCACACTTACTGTGGCTTCCATCTGTTGTCCACACTGCTCAAGAACTTTCCAGACACATATTGGGCTGATCATCCAACTTCGTACTCATAATCATTGATTATTACAACTTTGGATGAAAGTAATCTTCATCACTCGTGATGGACGAACGACAACACTAACAATTACACCATTAGAAACTTATATTTATATATGTGTTTATCACAATGTTTTCAGACAAATAAGCCACAGAAGCCACCTCCACCAACAGCTCCGGCTACTACTAAGAATTCACTGCCCAAACTGCCAGACAGACTAGCAGCAGACGTAGCTGAGGAGAAGATAAAAACAGGTATAGAACATATGTTTGGCTTTTTTTGATCTAAATCTTTTTGTTACTGTAGTTTTCTTTTTCTAAAAAATGATATTTGATCATCATCATCGGGAAACTCTGGACACTTTCCATTTTATATTTTCATTTATTCTCTGTGGTGAAATGGTCAGGTCATTTGCCTCACATTTTGAAAGTTTTGGGTTCATTTCACAGACACACTATTCAGTTCACAGGTGTAGTTTTTAGTGGAGATTCTTGGGGATTGTCTCTGGTGCTACAGACTTGGTGATTTGTGTGATGCTTTTAGCTGGCAGCTAGCTATTTGAAGGGACCAAGCCATGTGGGATTACACCTGGTGAAGTGAAGCCAATCATTATGAGTTGATCATTCATTCATTCATTCAGTAGCATGTCCCTAGCGGAACCTCGCTGCCATAACAACCCTCCGGAAAACCTTCCTATCCTGAGCAAGATGTCCTGCGTCTGATACACCCATCTGGAGATCATCTGCCACATCCTGCACCCATCTTCTCCTTGGCCTTCCTCTTCCTCTCTTCCCAGGCATATACCCCTCCATTATTGTTCTCTCTAGACTTCCATGACGTTTCAAGTGACCAAAATATTTCAATTTTCTTTGTTTTATTGTCTTTACTAGCCAACCCTCTTCAATATTCAGCTCTTGAAGTATGGATGCATTTGTTTTTTTCTTTACCCAAGATATTCTTAGAACCTGTCTGTAACATTTATATTCAAATGCATTTATGCGCTGTTCCGCTTGTTTAGTAAGTGTCCAGGTCTCACAGGCGTATGTTGCAATGAGTTGATCAGTTAAGTTTAATCAATGAATTGAATGGGTTATATCCTTGTGTGATTTTTCTTTTCAGAATCCCAGAGTCCATCCCTTGTCAAGAAGCCTTTTATGCCTCCGCCCACCATTAAAAAGCCAGTCAATCAGAAATCGACTGAGTTAAAACCTGAGCCGTCTATCCCACATCCGGTGGTCAACTCTGGAAAGGACAAGGCTGTGGTCAGAGAGAATCATTCAGAGAACCACAACTCACAAGGTTAGCCACCATTGTCATCGGTTCTCATCATTGTAGTTATCAGTTGGGTGGCAGATTAGGACAGGAGTCTTAGACAGAAGTTATCAGTTGGGTGGCAGATTGGGACAGGAGTCTTAGACAGAAGTTATCAGTTGGGTGGCAAATTGGGACAGGAGTCTTAGACAGATGTTATCAATTGGGTGGCAGATTGGGACAGGAGTCTTAGACAGAAGTTATCAGTTGGGAGGGAGATTGGGACAGGAGTCTTAGAAAGAAGTTATCAGTTGAGTGGCAGATTAGGACAGGAGTCTTAGACAGAAGTTATCAGTTGGGTGGGAGATTGGGACAGGAGTCTTAGACAGAAGTTATCAGTTGGGTGGCAGATTGGGACAGGAGTCTTAGACAGAAGTTATCAGTTGGGTGGGAGATTGGGACAGGAGTCTTAGACAGAAGTTATCAGTTGGGTGGCAGATTGGGACAGGAGTCTTAGACAGAAGTTATCAGTTGGGTGGGAGATTGGGACAGGAGTCTTAGACAGAAGTTATCAGTTTGGTGGGAGATTGGGACAGGAGTCTTAGACAGAAGTTATCAGTTGGGTGGGAGATTGGGACAGGAGTCTTAGACAGAAGTTATCAGTTTGGTGGGAGATTAGGACAGGCGTCTTAGACAGAATTTATCAGTTGGGTGGGAGATTGGGACAGGAGTCTTAGACAGAAGTTATCAGTTTGGTGGGAAATTGGGACAGGAGTCTTAGACAGAAGTTATCAGTTGGGTGGGAGATTGGGACAGGAGTCTTAGACAGAAGTTATCAGTTGGGTGGGAGATTGGGACAGGAGTCTTAGACAGAAGTTATCAGTTGGGGGGGGGGGGAGATTGGGACAGGAGCTTTAGACAGAAGTTATCAGTTGGGTGGGAGTTTGGGACAGGAGTCTTAGACAGAAGTTATCAGTTAGGTGGCAGATTAGGACAGGAGTCTTAGACAGAAGTTATCAGTTGGGTGGGAGATTGGGACAGGAGTCTTAGACAAAAGTTACCAATGTTTAGGACTATGAATTTTATGCATAATACTTATATGCAATAGTGTTTGTGAGAGAGAGAAAATTGTGTTTGTGTGTGCGTGCATACATAAAGTAATTCAGTCATCATCATCAATCACTACTTTTTCTGTTAAGTGACATGGGGAGGAACAGTTTGTGATCCAATGCTTAGGGGGCACAATGACTTTTGTCATTCGGTGTCTATGTAGGAGGTCTTTAATTTCATCATTTCATCCTCTCTTCGGGCAACCTCTTGCTTTCATTTAAGATCTTTTCATGTGTAGTGACTGTGATGTTAGTTGTGGCAGAATTCTGATGAGATGATCAAACCATTTGATCTTCTGTTTCTCAATGAATTTATTGCATAGTTTTGTTCCAGCGGTCTGTCTGATGGTAGCATATCTCACTTTGTCTCAGATTGTGAAGTTGGCGGTTTTCGCCAGCATGTAATTCAGTGACAAGCATTATTGCCTTAAAGCTTAAGGGTCAAAAGCTGATTTCTAATGCTCCTATAATATACTTATATATTCCTATTTTCCTGATAGCCTGTTTTCCTGTTTCACAGGTACAGTACATTTTGATGACATAGAACCTGCAAGTCAGAAGTTGACCCATTTAACATATGGACGAGCCCAGGGACCCAAGAAACGGCCACCCTCTTCAGTACTGATCCTTAATGTATGTATACATTATTGTTTGATGAACCTACTTTAAGTTTTTTCCTCAACCTTGAAAATACTAGGATTCAATTTCTGTGCCAGATGTTTTCTTTTTTTAAACTGAACCATTCTTGTGGTTTTTCTGGCAATGGTGCAAAAGTTACACCATGGAAGAGGTATGATCTTTTCTTCTTCTTCTCTTGCTTTTCTGACCACCCCGATTGTAGACACATTGTGCTGTTGTAGAGTTCCTGTGATGTTATCTTTTCACTTTATTGTTGGTCTGCCATGTGCTCTATGTCCTTCTCCTCTTTTATTGTATAGTGTGACATAATGCATTCTCTATTTGATTTGTTGTCTTTTTGTGTAATTTAGAATTGGTTCTGCACCATTTTTTTTCCCTCTGACCTCATTCCTGATTGTATATATTCTGGTCACTCCTGCCTCCCTTATCTTATTTCCATGGATACTAATTTTCTTGTCTGGTTTGTTGTGAGTGACCACGTCTGGCACTGGTAGACTCTAGCTTCACCATGTAATATTTCCAAAGACAGCAGTGGGTGCATTGTAGCCGGCCTTCATTTTGGAGACGGGACAGACAAGCACAGCAAATGAAATGGTGTGCCCACTTACAGATAATTCCTTATAATGACACATCATTTGTATCTCATTGTATTCTCTGTAGCATTATGGAAATAAGATGCAGGAGTGACAAGAAGAGATAAAATCAGGGATGAGGTCATAAGAGAACAGCTCTCACAGAACCAATTCTAATGACATAAAAGGCAGCAAATAAAATGGTTTGCCTATTAAGAGAGAATGCCTTGTGGCGCCATACCATACAAAGTATATTATAAAAGAGGAGAAGCACAAGGTAGACAAAGAAGAACATGGACAAATAACATTGAAGAAGCTCTACAGTAGCACAATGTGTTTATAGTTGAGGCAGCCAAAAAAGCAAGAAGCAGACAGAACCTTGCATCTCCCTCCACATTAGAAGCAGTGAAAGAGAAAGTGAAGAGGTACAAGGAAGAGCAAGAAGTAGAGCCTTGTAACTCCATCAACACCTGATGTGGTAAAAGACACATTCTCTTGTGTGAGAAGGCAAAGCTGAGTGATAGCTGCATTATTAAGACTGAGGACCATATGGACAACACTCAAGAAATCGCCCAACACTGCCCCAGGCCTCGACAGCATCCGATACGCTGATGTACTGCAGATGTGGGAGGATGACCTGGCCAGAGAGTTTCAGTGTCAACTCGAGAGTCGTCTCAGCCATCATTTTGGATGAGTAGGGTGAAAGGAATGGTTGGAGAAGAGGCAAGCTGTCAGGGTATGTCTCCATGTATCTGCAATGGGAAGAACCTTTAACCAACTCATGCCAGGTTATCCATACTTTGCCCTTTTTTTTGCAGCTCACTCCATATCCTCACCAACTTATTAATCTCTGTCTCATCTTCTCCATAAAGCTACATCTTTTTATTTTTTTGTAACTGGCTTTATGAGTGCATATTGTAATAGAGATCCATGGGGAATGTCATTGGAGCTGCAGAGTTTGTTCTTTGCATGATGTTCTTGACAGACAGCTAACCTTTCTATGGAGAGAGACTGAGCCATATGGGTTAAAACCTGGTGCATTGAGTCAGCCATTTTGACATTACAACTGTTTTTATCACTTTGCAGGATGGGGAGAAGGATGACAATGACATCACAGAGCAGATTAAGAACCATCGTCTTCCAACTCCAGATAAGCAACAGCCTCGGTTGGCAGACAGATTGGACTTGGAAAAGTCACAGTCTAGGTTGCCAGACAGACCAGATACAGAAAAGCTACAGTCTAAGTTGCCAGATAGAACAGACACAGACAAGCCACATTCTCGACTGCCAGATAGAATAGATACAGAGAAGCCACAGTCTTGGTTGCCGGATAGGCCAGACAAGCCACTTCCAGTCCTGCCTCCTAAAGATTATAGATCAGTAAGTGAAATCTTGTGAACTAGAAGGTTTATTTTGTGTATCATTCTTGAAACATTTAAAAATTGTTTAAGATTGTGCACAAATCAAGTTGAACAAGGTGGAAATTAGTTCACCAAAGGGGATGATGATGAGCACGAAACACAATAAAATTTCCTAGAGCATTTTGGGCACGTAAAGTCTAGTGCAGAAATCATACTACAAGAGAAAGAAGGAAGATGAATGTGGTACGATATTCTTGTCTTGACTTCACAAGTTACCCACAGCATTTATTGGCTGGTGCGTAGCTCGCCAAGGCAATTTTACATTGTCGATGTTTGCGTTCATCGGCTGTAAACCCTGACAGAAAGACCGGGTTGTTTGTCCATTTCTGGACTTCAGCTTTATTCCAGGACCAGAGTTTTGTGTGTGCATCTGTTTTACATATCTAGCTCATTTGTATGCAGATTGTTGCTTCCTAGGTCCATTCTTTTTTCCCCAGAATGGGACCCCGGAACACACACGGACAAGTTTTACATTTTGTACTTTGTAGCTGCTTGCTGAACAGTATTATGCTGTTAATAGTTAAGTAAAGCCAGCAGGGCATCAGCCATTTGTTAGTGGACTCATATTTTTGTGGAATACTGTGCCCTCAATGCGTATTGTGGTCAACACGACACCTCCAGCCTTTGCTTCCTAGGACTTCACCTAGTACCTATTCTTGGTGGGGTTGACCTGGAAGTCAAGATCAGTTTGGTCATGTATATGTAAACGAATTTTGGCAGAACACAAGAGATTAGATGAAATAACATGGCCAAGAGGAATTACGTGTGGATCTGGCAAGGAGGGAGGAAGAGATCGGCGTGTGTCTAATCAGCATGCTACGGGAACAACATCTACACCTTACGTCCTTTGCTGCAGACGACTGAGCATTTATGGGTATGCCATGTGTGTTATGATGTCGATTCTTAAATCAGTAATCAGTAATCGAAGTCATTTTTTGGGGGAAATATCTGACTTTACGTGGATTTGAATCTACAACCAGTGTTATCCATACCATTACAAGAGCAAAGCATTCTGTTACCAAATTTCTTCAAAGCTGACTTCAAATCCCAGTATGTCAGCATTGTGAAATTGTGTTCACAACCTATACAGCACATACCTATTCATTTTCTGTATAAAAGTAAAAATGTAAAGACCCCTTTTCACGCCCTTAAGGCTTATCGGGCGTGGTATGTTAGAATTAAGAGACTGACTCGCAGTGCCTAAGCCACGGACGCCCATTTTCTATATAAATAATAAAATATGAAGTGTTTCCATTGCATCCACTATTGTGATTGTCTGTGTGAAAATGTTACATTATTCATTCATTCATTGTCCTACTATACCATTATTTGTCACATAGGGCTCACAGTCTGTTACTCCATTCTCTTACTTTTAAATCATTTTTTTTTTCAAATATATCATTAGTGTTTAGGCCCCTTCTGTGGCTGACAATTTAGAAGTTGACAGAATAGTATTTACACAGAAATGGGAAACAGACTGAGGAAATAAGGATGTCCAAGAGAAAGCCTCTGAGAGAAGACAAAAGTGCTAGATTGACTTTTGACCCTGCTAGAAAAACAAAAACACACACACGATAGAACTGAATGGATGAATCCAATCTAAGCCCTTTTACTAATTACTGATTTAAGAGTTGACATCATAGCACACTGGGCATACCCATAGATGCTCTGTCTGCCGCAGCAGATGCCTTAAGTTGTAGATGCTAACTGTTCTCCTAGCATGTGAGATATAAATGGTGCAGCAGTGTGGTGATGTTGAATTGATTGTTTTTTAACCCATCAACAGGGTCAGCCTCCACAGCAAACAGAAAATGTGGCTGTTGGCTCTCATTCTTCTACTGTAACCTCACTCCGAGACAAGGAATTGCATTTACATACTCCACCACCCCGACCACCAGAGCCCGCAAAAGGTTAGAGCTGTTGTCTGGTTGAGTGAATTGTTTATCGCATGTTCTTCAGGCCATAATATTGACATTTATGGTTGTCTAAGCAATGTTTTCCATTGTGAATTTGAACAAATAACAGATTGCACCATTTATTGTCTTGCATATTTTGCAATATCTATTGTTATTCATGCTAAAGTAACAGTTTATTGCCTGCATTTTTTGCTGTATCTCTGCAGGTGCATGCTAAAAGAAACAATTAATTGAACTGAAGGATATAAATGAATCATTTTAACTGAAACACACAATCAACTACATTCACAAAAGTAACTGCCTGGTTCACCAGGCAAATGCAAGATCACGACTTTCTCTTTACTTCTTGACTAAATCAGTTTACTGTCATGGCTTCCATATATATCAGAGCATTCTGCAGTATTCTGAGGTATCCCAAATTTGAAACACATCGTTCTTGTTAACAGTGTGACCAGAATTCAAAAGGTCCCTACATGGCCACACACTCTCTCTCCCCCACCCCCCCTTTCTCTCAACCCCCCCACCCCACCCACCCACATCGTTCTCTCTCTAAAAAAAAAATGATTGTAAAGAGGGCATAGAGAATAATCCCAAACACTGTTAACAAGAACTTGGAGAAAACATCAACATAAATCAGAGTATCAAATTTTAAAAAAAAAATCACCAAAAACTAGTAATTTAGTACCCAAATTTCAGTGTTATGGTTGACACTGTTTTTTCTTGATCATATCTTCTATTTTTAACAGTAAATTTACTGCTGCTCATGAAAACCAAAATGTCTTTGGCTTTTTGTTTTATAAATTGTTTTTATTCATAAATAAGCTGAAACAAAATATTACTATAACAGATTACAAGTGCACTCAACTTTAGAATTGCTTGATGCCTCCTTGAAACTTTCTTGTGCCCCTGGGTTGAGAACCACTGGCTTAGAGATAGTTACTGCTCAGTTGAGTTCTTGTGGCTTGGGGTAAGAGGAAATAAGGAAGCTGAAAGAAAGATCTGCAGACAGATCTGTTGTGAATGAGCAGTGGGGCAGGCTGATATACTGCATGCTCTTTGACAGGTAAACTATTTCAGGAATCAAGAGATGACAAAATCTGCAACCCTCACAAGACTGCAAGAGTGGACAGTAAAAATAAGTGAGGTCAGGCAAGATTTAGAAATTAAAAAAATACAAACCAAATAGTAAACCAGCACACAATTGGTAATGTCAGTGGCTACATGCTGATTCATAAAACTCAGGAGGGGATCTTAACACATATAGTAAGGTATTCAGTGGAGGTGATCTGTTGATTAAATAATAATAATAACAACATACCAGACTGAACACATGAACACTTTATTACATTTCAGCACCACATTCTACCCAGACCACATCTGCCTCTGGCATACACATGAATAAACTGCTGGAGCAGCTGCAGCAGGAGCTAGCAGACGTGAAAGCCAACTCTGTGAGCAAGTCTGCGTTTATGGAACTGCGGGTACAGCATGAGAAACTCAAGGTAGAATTTGAAAGTTTGAAGAAGATTCACTCTGTCAAAATCCGTGACCTGGCGAATGAAGTTGATGAGGAGAAAAAGCTGAGATTGACCACACAAGTAGAGATTGAACGTGTGAAGAAACTTTTAGCAGAGACGCACGTGTAAACTTTGATTCTTTAGTGACTTTTAAGAATTATTTATTTATTTGTTTTATGACATTAGTAAATATCAGGGCTTATAATCACCAGTCATTGAAGTCATGGTAAAAAAAAAACAATCAATGGCTGACCAAAAATGTTTATAGCCTGAGCATGCAAATCAGTGGAACTGACAACGGTTTAAGACTTTGAGGTGTGTTTTAATGTATGTAAACATCACAAAGGAGTTGCCACTATGAGGATGAATAAACACATTCAAATGTTAATGATCTGATTGACAAAACAAAACAAAACAACACAAAAATAACCACTGTCATGAATAGGCAAAGGTCAGCATCGTAGAAGCAAAGTATCAGACTGGAATTTTTCATTTTTACAGTTATAGAAAACACTGAGTTTTATTGAACTCTTGTAATCTTAATGTGATAATAATGAAAAATATATAGCGTTTGTATAAAGGTACATAATTGACGTGACATATTGGTTGGTCGTTGTAGAAACTGCTGAGCTAAACAGTCATAAACTTTTTCTGTACTGAGAGGCTCATAAGAAATGTATTGATTACTTAATATATGATATACTTCATCCAACTCTTTCGAGATTCCTCTGGGCATTAACAATCAGACGGATACTGGTGCCATGGCAAAATGGAACTCTTTGTTTCCTGCTAAAGTTTGAGACGAAGCACTTGTCCCGAGTGCTGTGATGTCCATTCTTAATTCAACAATCAACAACAACTCTAAGCATTAGGTTCTAACAATCAGGACTTTCTGATGGAGTCTGTAGCTCATGAACATTAAAAAGAATAACCAGCAGACCTTTAATTAGTTGTCCTTTATGACGTGCTTGTTTAGAGACAGCAATTCTATCTCCCCTCCCCCACCCAATGAGGCCCTAGAACCCAGATGGAGAGGTTATATCCTCAACATACCCCAGCATGTAAAGTTCCAGTCCAGTTGTTGCACCTTGGTTTCTGATCTTTGAGAGAAAAGAAGGCATTTGCAACATAGTCCACATCAAAATGGTGCTTTGATAAAGGGTCTAGAGCAGGTCTGTTCAACTAAGTTGACTCAGGGGCTAAAATTTTCAAAAATGGGGATCGTCACGGGCCAGAAGCTCCAGCATAGAAAGATCAATAATGCAGTACAACATGCAGTAATCCGCGGGCCAGAAGCTCCAGCATAGAAAGATCAATAATGCAGTACAACATGCAGTAATCCGCGGGCCACCTGCTAAGCCTAAGCTAGTCAGATTTAGCCAGCGGGCTGCCAGTTGAATAGCCCTGGTCTAGAGAAAAGTGTCTGAGTGACTTTTCATTTGATTTGATATCTTTTCGTGATCTTTCTGACCATCTTTATGGACAATTGACATTAGTGTGAGGAAATGTTGATCTCATAAACATTTCTGTCCATTGTGTTATCATTCTTCTGTCAAGCCACATCTCTGCAGCTTCTACAGATTTTTTCACTGACAGACTACCCATAATGTACAGAAGTCTATCTTTTTTTTTTTTAACGATCAGTGTTTGCTAGGCGTCTATTCCATTATGGGTCATAAACAGGTCAATGTGCTTGAGGTCTTTTGGGGTTCTGATAAGGTACATCTTGTGGGTATATTCCATTCCTTCTCACTTCTTCTTTACCTCTTTTACAGCTTCGGGTGTCGAGGGAGATATAAGGTCCTGCTTCATGCTTTTCTGGCTGCTTCGACCAAAGACACATTGTGGTACTGCAGAGTTTCTCTGATGTCATCCTTCCATCTTGTTCTTGGTCTACCTCTTGGTCTACGTCCCTCTCGTCTTTTGGTATATGCCTTGAAAGGTATAGCATCAGAAGGCATTCTCTCCAAGTGGGCAAACCATTTTATCTGCTGTCTTTCCTTTAACATTGCCGTGGTCAAATGCCTTTTGATTAGTCCGTTTATATCTCATTGTACTTGTTGTAGCGGTATTAATTCCATTGCCGGCTTGCTAGGCCTGTCGCAGCTTCACCAGAGCCGAATGGCCAGGACGTTTTCCTTCTCACTGACTGGCAAAATCTGGGCATTCCTGTAAGAAATGCTCGGGAGTTTGTTCTAGTGAGTCACAACAACATGCAGCAGAGTTAGCATAACCCATTTGATGTTGATGGGCTCTGGGTTTACAGAATCCGGTCTGTCTGAAAATTGTGGTTACACAGAAGTGATTCTCTTTATCAGGGTTAGCTCTGTATAGCTGTTACAAACTCTCTTTCTTTTCCAAAGAGGAACTGTATAAAATATTTTCATTTAGTGTAATTCTGCTTTTTTTGAAGTATTGTATATGTGACCCTTTCGCCCCTAGAAGTCTAAGAAAAATATGTCATGACCCTGTTTGAAATCCTAAAAAAGTCATAAAAAACAGTAATTTTTACACCGGTCACTAATAAATACTTACTTACTTACTTAGTCGCTCCTCTTCTACCTTGGGGTGTAGAGGTTTGCCAGAGAGATCGCCAGACGTCTCTATCAGCAGTTTTCTTTCTGGCTTTGTTCCATTCCAGTCCTCTGTCAGTTAGGGACTGTCGGATGTTGTCTTCCCAGCGCACCCTGGGTCGTCCCAGAGGTCTGGTTCCCTGGTTCTTAGCCTTCCATGCTTGCCATGGTGGCCGATTTTCTCCCATTCTGCATACATGTCCAAACCATCTTAACTGTGACTGATCTACTCGGGTTAGTAAGGGCTGGGTATCAAGATCTTGACGTATTGTCTGATTGCGGACTTTGTCCCTTCTTGTCACTTGGACCACCTTTCTCAGGTATCTCATTTCCTAGGCCTGCAACTGGCTTCTGTGAGCTGTTGTCATTGCCCATGACTCACACCCATAGGTCAGGACTGGTACATAGGTAGAGTGGTAAACAGCCATTTTCGTCCTCTTGCCAATTTCTCTTTTGCTAAGAAACCCTCGGTTTATGGCCTGGAAGAGTCTCCCAGCAGCTGCTTTTAGTGTAGCCAGCTCAGTCTTAATGCCTCCATTTTGGTCTAATACAACTCCAAGGTATTTGAACTGGTTAACCTGCTCCAATGCATACTGTCCCATCATGATCTGGTGTTTCGTCTCCTCTCTTGAGATCACCATGGTTTTAGTTTTGGAGACACTGATGGTCATCCCTTTCTTTTCAAGCTCTTCCTTCCAGACAAGTAAGTTGGACTGAAGGTGTGCCTCTGAATTAGCTATCAGGGCCACATCGTCTGCAAAAGCCAGCTCTGATATACAGATTGGTCTCATCTTCCAGTACCCTACAGAGTACTTCTTTGTCTTTTCCTTACAGGTCTTGACGACATCATCCATCATAAGAATGAAGAGGTAAGGTGAGAGAATATCACCTTGTCTAACACCGCTGGCAGTCTTGAATTCTTCTGACTTTTGGTCTGCTGTTCTTACATAATTTCTGCACTTTTTGTAGAAACTCAGTATTGCACTGATCAGGGGTGCTGGGATGTTTTTCCCTGCCAAGCAGTCCCAGAGCTTGTTCCAGGGTACCTTGTCAAATGCCTTTTCCAGATCCAAAAAACATAAGTGCATCTCACTCTTATATTCCAGGGCTTTTTCACTCATCTGTCTCAGTGTGAAGATAAGGTCTTGAGTCACTAATAAATAAGTTCATTAAAAATTTATTTATCAACATTTAAAAATATATAAAGATGTATAAAAGGAGTCAGTAAACACCAACAGGGTGAAGCATTAAATTGAATACATCCACTAGGGACTCAAACCACACACCTGTTGGGTGACTCATGCCGTTATCCCACGACCTTTACCTTTGAGGCTTATGAGAAAATCTGACATCATCTTGGCTTTGAAAATGCCCTGTGGCACGAAGAAAAACCCCTCTTAGTGCTGTTGCTAGTTAATTTATTCATATCGTGACCTCCTAAACGGTTGCACAGGTGCAAACTCAGCCAATTGTATTAACTAATCATCTTGTAAACATGTCACGGTAGGCAAGTCGGAAAAGTGACATTTGTTCGGAACTGGACTGTTGGCTTTTTGTGGCTTCTCGGAGCGAAAGGGTTTAAGGAATTAATGAAACAAGGATTGACATCACTGCGCTCTAGGGATTTCCATCTCCTTCCACACTGAGTTCCCTAATGACGGTGCCAGCTGTACACTGATTTCAAAGATTACAGATCCACATGTCTTTTCCCTGCATAATGAAAGCCATCCAGAACTTCTGGTGAATCCTTACTGAATCTGGAGATATGCATACTCTGCTCCATTGCACTGTCCACTGTTCTGCATTTAACTTCTGTAATAAATCTTCCATCTGCTATAACAATTATATCCATTGTACATTTCGCAGATGTGTTTTATGGCATCTCCTGAGTCATTGTTTCCTAGACTACTTTATTATATTAGTAAATATTTTTTTCCTGCTATTATATTTTCGAATGGATTTTTTGCTAGCTATGTTTTTATTGTTGATACACATGTATTGAATTATATTATAGTGTAATTTTACCAGTATCACATTCCATATAAATGAGATTGTTACAGAAATATTTTTTTTTTAATGTGCCGAATTTCTGGGAATAATAGTGATGGCTTTGTAGATGGATAGTCATTAATATAGCTTGCATTACTTTCAAATGATATGATTTAAAACTCATAAACTGTTAGCCGATTTCATAAAACTTTGAGCTAAAGTTCACAGTTTCATCACTTTTGTAGTTCTCCAGCCATCATTATCCAAAATGCCACCTCTCATAATTCCTTCAAAATTCAGACCTCCATCTGTCATAATTCTATCATAATTTAAAATTTCACCATTCTGATTTCATTAATGTTGAGAACACCATTCGTAATTCCATAAAAACTCAAAACTTAACCACTTTATTAATTATTTTAAGACTTCACTACTCTCATAATTCCATCAAGGCTTCACCATAATATCATTCCAGAAATCAAATGTGTTTAGAATCCACCATTGTTATAATTTCATAATTTCATAACTCCACTATTGACATTGTTGGAACAGATATGTCTCTCTGGC